TTACTATTTACATGCAATTTAAGATTGCAACTTTATTAGTAAAAAATTTTAAGGCGAGAATCCCCAAAAAACTCTTGAATAAGGAGGGATTTTTGTTACTGGGGCCGTATAAGATGTTTCTCTCTCTATTCAGGTTTCAGAATTGGGAAGGGGGTGTTTGGCAAAACCAAAACCAAAATTTCAGAATCACTTTTCCGCAAAACGAGGTAACCTCCTCCACATATTTACTTCGTAATCCGTAAAAGCACTTCTGAAATCATGGTTTGGTTTCTATCCAAACACCCCCATTATTAGATGTACATATACTTTCTCTCAATTTTTAATTTAGTACCTATGTGTTTTTTCCCTTTAATTAAACATTTAATTTTATCTTTTTAGCAACATTAGCTCTTATAACTTTGTTCTATTGATATTTTTAGTCTCTATATAAGGATTAATGATGTTAATAGAGCAAAATTAAAGATTTAGTTAAGAACAAAAAACACATAGCTACCAAATTGAAAATTGAAAAAAAGTATAAGTACCTCTAATATGGTTTTTCTTTCAGAATTTTTCAGAAATCAAAGCATCATATAACAAGCCCTTCACATCAAGATGAAATGACTAAAGATTAACATCCAAGAATTAAATTAACGGAAGAATCTTTTACAATCTTATAATAGAAAGTAAAGTAGCAATATATATTGTTATTTTATTCTTCACTGACGTGATTTGTGCTTATTTATTTTTTATTTTAAGTAATCAATTTGTTTCTATTAAAATTTTGTATATATAGCTCTACAAAAGTTTTATATTCAATATTAGTGAATATACATAGGAGTTTATGTAGGTTTTTAAATCTATATATAATCACTCCGATCCTATAAAAGATATAATTTCTGGGGTAAGGATAATTCTATATAAGATACACTTAGAAAAAGTCTGAAATTTTAGCCAAAATTTTTAGTTTTGCCCTTATTGATTACGTACATGTTACTCCTCTAGTCTTATTTATAAGTAGCTTTTAACATGTTTTACACAGACAAAAAAAATTTTAAACTTCATTAATTCTCATTTAAAATTCAACAACTTTCTAAATTTATCCCTATTTAATATACATTTACCTCATGTAAATAAAACCAACACAATAATAAATAAAAGGTAAAATTGTATATCCATACAAAAAATTTCTCTCAATACCCTATAAATAGGACAAAAAAAGTCTTCTTTATTTGTCCTATGAAGAGGACAAGAGGAGGATATCATTGCATTTAATTAAGCACTCTTTCTGCCACCTCTATTTATATGTCTCTCTATAAATAAGGGTATCTTTTAATACCTACATATTTATTGCTTTTAATCAATTTTTTATCTTCATAATCATATTGAGTTATTTGCATCTTATACATACAAACGGGTGGAGTATATACATAAAGACCTTGAAGCTTCTTCCAATTGAGCCTCCGCTGAAAGCAAATCAAAAAACAAATTATGAGATCAAAATTTTCAATTACATAATTATTCTGTACTTTTAAAAACGGTCAAATCTGAATTAAACATCAAATTCAATCCAATCCAGACCATTTTCCAAGGGCAATAAGAGGAGGTTAATGTTGTAAAGGTGTGAAGGGAGGCAAAAGGGTAGAGAGACAAGTCCAATAATTGGAGGGTTTGGCGTTATTTACCAGACCCTATTATGAATCATCGTGCCCTAACTTTGCGGTTGCAAACTTGCAATATAGGAGCAAACCAGATTTTTGTTTGGAAAGCCACAATCACACAATGACTATAGATCACACGTGTCCTTTGCTGATTGGAGGAACCACAACGTACAATGTGGACACATCCTCAACCAAAATCCAAGCAAACCAAACCCTCACTGTCCTTTGATTTTCAGACACTCCCCAGAAGCCTCTCGTCCTGCTTTCGGTGATAATTCAGTGCTTAATTTACGCCCTTAATGTCCCACACTCATCGGGAAATGACATATATACATATAGATTTGCCTGGGAAAAAAATATATATTACTCTAATTAAACCCATCATACACTTCACTTCAATTCCTGTGTGGACATATGTGTGTGTATCTATTCTTTAATTGAATTGGTGGAGTCAAACAGTGCGTCCTCGTACGTGCAAGAAGGCACATGCGTGAACATGACAATATGAACCTAGCTTCTTGTTATTAACACTGTTTCGGAAGTCGGCAGCTTTCATGGTCCTTCGTTTTTGTTCTCCTGTACCTTAATTTCTTCTATAACTCCTCATTTTCTTTCACTCTTTTAGTTAGAATGGCAAAACCCAGAGAAATAAAGGATCGTAAAGGTCAAATTACGAAACCGACTTCCTCATTTTAAGCACCCACGTCTCACCGCATATAGTCAATGCGTTCCATTGGCGGATCCATCAATATCATGACCACATTGAGCAGTCCAGTTAGCACACGCAAGTGTTTGATGTTCTTAACAAATGGTCATAAACTATTTCCTACGGCTGCATGTATAAGAAGCTTTGTTATGTCTTCTGCTATATATACTTAAACACACGACTATTTCTATTTTCAACTTCGGATATATTATCTTCCATTGAGCCCGAGGAAACTCTAATATTTCCATAATACCAACAGAGAGTTGTGTGTTAGGCTGATATATATCCCGTGTTTCTTTCACTCTCCAATACCTTCACTCTTGTCGTCCTATGCATCCTAAATTTCCATTGCCTAGGCTGCCTAGGTCGGCAGTTATAAATATATATTCAACGCACGACAGTCTATGCTATTGCTCCTCCAATAATCCAGACTTACCATCAAGCAGTACTTATGGATCATAGCGTGTGGGGCACGAGAGGGGAAGCTAAGCTAGGTCTCGTAAACACCTCTAAGCAACTGGTTTCCTTGTGCCTCCTTATAATATAACTCTCTCACATGGATGATTCGGGAAGTGACCTCTCGGTAAACATTAAACAAATTGTGACCACACAAAGCAACTTTCATGCAGTAACATAGTGGAGTGGCGTGTGCCCACAGAAGCAGGAGCCGGAGAAGAAGGCTAGCTTCCTTCAAGTGGATTATTGCTTAATCATTGTTGGACGACAATTGACAAATCTGACCATTTATGGAATTCACTACTCAATCTAATACCAATCTATATGAATTTATACAAGAGTGGAATCAAATTCTTCCACAAAGTGAATATTTTAATATTTCTTTTTTCCTTTTTAGGCCTTAGAGGTGACTGGTGAGGATTGTTGTAAATGGATGGTTGCAGAAAAATATTAGGGCCACGTCCCATTATTTCAGAGAAGTCGGTGCCCACAGCGCACTTAGGCTTTATAATCAATCAAGTCCAACTTATCCAACGGTCAGTTTTTCCAATCAACATGTGACCGACAGAAATGTGTCTCGGATTTAATAGCTACCTGCATTTTGTTTCATGACATAATAATGGGCAGTCAGCATAGCATCAGGAGGAGACAAAAGCAGACAATGAATCTTGTTGAGGATGTTTAAAGGTACGGCTTCGTTTAATTTTCCGGTAAAAAAAACTTAACTGAACCAAATTTGCAGGTTCATTAAAAGCTGAGACCTTGTCGGTTTAGCTGCGTACTATTGGTTTGATTCGGTTTCTAATTGATTTAATTCAGCGAGGATCAGTTTTTTTTTTTTGGTCAAAAGCGAGGATCAGTTTAAATCATGTTGCAATAAGTATTTTTTTCAAGAAAGAAAGAACACGTTGCATGTTTTAATAAACCATAATGAAAAAAATAATGGCAAGTTATTTAAAATTTTGCACGGGTTTGATACCATTCTTTTCCACTCCCATGTTTATCTCCCTTTCTTACTGTTTATATATTGATTCTAAGCTCATCGGGTTTTTAAATTATGGATCTAGAATGCCACAATGATTGAAAATGCATAAACATTGGGCAGACCTGAGGCGAGAAATTGCGTACGCTGGGTGCACCACCTCGTTTATGCACTGATTAATAAAATTATGACAGGTAGAGTATTTTTATCGTACGTGTAACTCTTCCCTCTCTCTACTATTTTAATTACTAGCTCAGATTGTTTAATATAAGATCTCATTTAATTTTTATTTTGATCTTAAATATAAAACTATGATCTACTTTGTCTCTCATATTTATTTTTTTTTTTAAGGTAGTCTTTCTAACAATAATAGTTCTAGCTAATATATTTGATTAGCAAAAGTATTTTAAAAAAAATAATATCTATTGATTACTAATAACTAATTTAACTTATTTTTTTAATCTCCTCAAATTAGTCAATTAATGCTTATAATTAGGAGTGGAAGTAGTATTTTTTTTATTTAAAAAAAGTTCTTTTACTCTCTCTTTCCTGCAATAACTTTCTGAAAACTCCTCTCTCTTACTATCCGCTCCTCCCACCTCTCTTTGGTCTTTCCCTCAACCTCCACACCCCCAACAAGAGCCGACGCAGCCTTTGGAGATGTTCAGGACACAACAAAAAAGTCAACAAAATGTGTTTGCAAAAGAATGAGAGAGATGGAAAGGACGGGGCAGAGGAGGAGGGGGGGGGGTGTGGAGGCTGGGGAAAGGCAAAAGAGATGGAAGGAGAAGGCAGTAAGAGGGAGTAGGAGTTTTTCATAAAACTGTTGTTGGGGGTTGGGGGGGGGGGGGGGGGGGGAGAGAGAGAGAGAGAAAGAAGCATATTTTTCTAAAAAATAATTAAAATAATAGAAGAAGGGAGGAGTTACACGTAAGCTAACATGTAAAATAAAATTATAAAAACACTCCACTTGTCATAATTTTATTAGTCAGAGAGCATAGATAAAGTGTTGCACCCAGTGTATGTAAAAACTTCTCCCGGCTGAGATCTGAACTTTAGTTGAAGTCAACCTGGATTTTTCTTGGACCAGTTTGGTTTGGTTCAATCAATTCTGAATCTGGAAGTAGTATTATAATGCTTATGGCCAGAAGTTCCTCAGGGCTGAGAGAAATCAGAATGGATTTTCTCATTGTACATTTACACTGTTATTAACATCCAAACATTGTACAATACTACATATCGATCTAACTTGATATGTGAATAATGTAATGGCTAAGAATATTCTAGGAAATTAAGTTTATTGCAAATTTCCAAAATAATTTTTTTTTCTTATGACATGAATTTGACTTAGTTCAGCATTGGCCTTGCACTTGATGGTCTCCATCTAAATCTTCATATGTATCACCACTGTCCTTATCCAACTCTGCTGCGCCGTGCATGCACTGAAAATGAAATCAAATGCAGAGAGCCTTTTCCCAGAAGCTTCAACTCGTGAACACTCTGCTCTTCACGATCTTTTCTGCCTCAGTTACAGTCAAGTGCCTGATCCCATTCTCCTTCAACCAATTCTTTCCACCAGCCAAACATTCATGCATTTTGTTCTCTTCCATCCTCAGTAACTTGAGACCTTCACTGGCTTTTGGAAAGAAGCCTTCTGGCCTCAAACACCATGCCCCAAACACGCCAAATAAAACACCCAAATCATTACCAAATCTTTCTAACCCGCCGTTGTGAAATTTGACATTGCCTATAAGGATACCAGTAAAAATTAATCGATCTATTCCAGCTGCCAAACTTCTCCAGGCCCCAACAAAATCTCTACTGTTCAAACTTCTTTCTACTACTGACATTTTACCTTGTAGATAATCCAGAGCCTCAATTAGAGTCTTAGATATAGTCCAGCCATCTTCACTATGTTGCCATTGCCTTCTATTCTTCACATATTCTCGCAAACGAGCATCAAAGCCTCTCAAAATAACTACAGATATCTTTTCAACCCACTCTTTTCTAAACTCCTCCAACTTTTTTATGTCCTCGTCAAAGATAGATATTTGGCGACTCTCTGACAGTCCTTCGTTATCTCTATCTGGGTTAACTGGTAATTCAACTTTATCATCCTGATCCATACCCATTTCAAGGAAAAAGACATCCTCAGACCATTCCCTTAAAACAGACTCAAAGTAATGAGCAGCATTGATGGAAATTGCAACTTTGATTAAGGCATCATCATCAGTTAAGGCAGTCAATCCCTCAGCCTCCTGGCAGCGGATAAGTATGCAATCAAAAAAATTTCTTACAATAGGAACGGCCGCTAATTTGAGAAACCTTGACCTCAGAGTGACACTAGGCAATGATCTACAGCGATCAATTAGAGATGCTAGATGTCGAAGAAAAGCATTGGAAACCAGAGGAGACTTGTAACCATCAGTACATGATGACAAAACAACTCCTTCAATTTGCTTCCTCCAGTTTTTCTCTTCATCTGTGACAGATTTTAACTTATCCAGGGCATCATTGAGCTCTATTTCTGCCCAAAGATCAAGCCAGTCTGGTCGATCACAAAAAACAGAGAAAGAAGAAATTTTCTGCAAGATGCCATCCTCTTCAAAGGACAGCAAGATCCCAGAATGCTCTACCAGGGACTTAATCCTTTTGTCAAAAGATATCATCAGGTCAATAAGATGCAACCATGAAATCCGAGCAGATGATAGAGAACTTGTAGCACTTTCCCCCTCTAGTTGGTTTATATAAATGGGAAATATTTCTTTTGCCAAGTACGTTGATAAGGAGGTTACCATTGCTGAGATCCATTCTTCTCTACAACTATACCCAACTAGCTTTGCTTCGTCAACCAATGGCTGTAATAATTCATCCATGGAGTCAACATAATCCCTTGAGATTTTATATGCAAGAGTGAATATTAATTCTGGCTTATTAACCCATTTAGAAAAATGCTGTTGGGATGCCAATGAAATGGGATTCACAAGCTCTTCAATTGCCCAGAGTGGCTGGTCCTGAGCAACTTTCAGATCATAGCCCTCAAGTTGCCTAGCTTTCCTTTGTCTTTGCAACTCCTGTAGGCTGCATAAGGCAAGAAAATTTTCTGAGTACTTGAGTTTAAGATCTGCCTGCATACTCAATAGAGGATTTGAAACTTCATTTACACTCCTTGAATCTGATGCCGAAGAAGAGAGAGGTGGAGGCCATCCAAGTGAAGCAAGAAGGGCCCGATGGTCAGCTATTGCCTGGGGCCTTAAAATGGCTAGAGCTCGATCTGCTCTGTGATCAACTGCTGATACCAGATGCTTCCACTGAGGGTGTCTCTTTGTAATTGTAGCTAACACTTCTTCTGTCGTTTTAAGCGTTTTAATAGCCAGCAGACGCAATTCCTGCAATAGTTGAGCATATATTAAGGAATATAGTGATGGTATGAATTGTGATATCTCTGGATCTGATTATTGAGGAGAGCTCACATCTGAATTCTGGGAAGAAGAATGCTTCCTTAGGTTTTTGTTCATAGTATATGATACAGCATCTTCAATATCACCAACCAACGAGACTAGTTTCAGTGCCGTCTCTGGAAGACATAATGAGCAGTTCAAGAAACCAGTAACATTCATGAACTAGAATACAAAGTAAATGAAAAACCAATGCAGCACATATCAAGGTACGGCATGGCAATAATTTATTAGAACACATCCGATCCAATAAAACGGGAGGAGTGAGCTTCTTCTAAAGGTTAGGAAAAAAGTAATTATAGAATCGAGTGATGGTAAGGAGTTTATCCAAACTATACTTTTTTCAATTCTTACACCCTTTGCAATCACTCATGCCCATGAGTATCATAAATATTACTACCTCTAGTTCTAACTAAGATCCAGTTTGTTGTGCAAATTGTACTATTGAGGGATAGATTTCAACCTTCATGAGTGGCAGGATAAAATATTTTATCTTCCCAGCACCAACACATACCCCATAAAACTTGTTATTATTCTTCTTTGAAAAAATGTAAGGGTAATTACATAATCCAGTTCTCCACACCTTTGACCTTGGAGAAGAATGTAATCGTTGGAGCCACAGTTGTTCAGCTCAGAATACTTCAAAGTTCAAACTGTTTATTGAGGTTGGTGATGCCCGGATGTACCAGATTTCAATTTCCACCAATTTACTCCAGTGTGAACTCATACATTTCCAGCATTTTAAGTGCTGCAAAAGGTCTATATGATCATGAAAAAAAGACACAACACAACAAAACCTAGACTCCAGCACCAGCTCTCAGTCCCCTGCCTAGGCCCTCTTTCTTGTGTGACCACAGTTATCATCTTATGACAAAAGTGAACCATAAGGTTCACTACATCAACACAGAGTACACCCATAAATCATTTACCAATCGAATGTTGATTCAGAAACTTTATTTAAGTGATTGCTATAATTAATCTTAAACCCTGCCATCAATGGTATCATTGTGCATAATTGCCTACAGGCATGGTTGCCCATATAGACATCATTAAAAACAGAAAAATGGTTGCCAATATAAAAGGTTTGGGATTGAAAATATTGATGAGCGAAAATGAACTAAAGTAAAGATAATACTGCTAACGTAGAGTATGAAAATGTAAAAACTATACTTACAAAGTGCTCCGCACGGAAAGATAGCAACATATCTATTATTTCAAAAGAATATGCAGGTTATTCTTACATTATCAAGAACTGATGATCGGCATCTCTATATCTAAATGAAGCTATATTGATCAGAATATATAACATCAATATCAATGAAACGAGCTCATAAGTTTTCGCGCTATGATTATTCGTGGACTTGGCGCAATGGCGTCTCTTTAAGTTTTTCTCCAACCAATTTCATACACTTCCATCTACCTCACGCACACACATTAAGGTGCATAATTTCAACACACCACAGCGTTTAATTTTCAAATGACAAACACAATACAACTTGCCACACTATTCATCCATTAGCGTAGTTGAAGAACTCACCCGCATAGACACGAACAGTCTCCAAGCGCGCCACTTCCTTCGCCAAGGCCGGAAGTTCCTCCCTGAAATTCTTCTCCCCACTGGGTCCATCTTCATTCATCGTCAAAAAAATAAAAATAAACATCTCAATCTCTAGCAACAAAAAAAAATCGAAGAATACAAAGACGAATGGATGCAGATAAGCAATACCAGGTATAATACTGGATGAGCAACTGGACGTAAAAACGGTCAATTTTGCATTGACATCGTTGAAGAGATCGTGGATTTGGCCGGAGAAGGAAGAATAAGCAACAAGGCCCGCTCCAAGTCTCCGATTCAATTCGACCAAAGCTTGATCCAGATCAGAGCACTGAGTTTGTAGCTCCGAAACCAAACTCGGAGCTTCGTCGACATTATCTTTGGTGTGAAATTTGGCATTGAGAAAAGTAAATGCAGACGGCGACAGGTCAGATGGTAGCGACAGGGTTTGGACCGAGTCCATATCTTCTTCATTCATGCCATTGGAGTCTTGGAAAGTTAGGAAACGTATAACACGAATGGACAAAGAGAGTAATTTAGGGTTTTGAAAAGATTTGCGAGCAGGGTTGAAGACTCGAAGCTGCTCTGCTTCCTTCTGGACGAGGTTATCGGATTCCGAGTCTCCCCGCCGTCTATGGATGATACAACTGAATCCGTTTCGGGGTCGATCCGGGCAGAAGCAGAACCGCGGGAGAGGAATCGGGTGGAAATTTATAAACAAGATGGGATCGGAGATGGTATAATATTTTTTTAATTCTGAAATTAAAATTGCGACTTATTTTATTTTAGTTATAGTCTTTTAAATTTTAAATTCTTGATTTTATTTTTTTTGAATGTTAGTCCCTGGGAGTGTAAATATTAAAATCTGTTGAAATATTGTTAATAGTATTAAGTGATGATGTGAACCTACCAAATAATACTTAACTAGATTTTGTAATATGAATAACAGAGAGAGAGAAAAAAAAGATCATCAAAACACTACTATTTAGCCCTCTTTTATCCTCTCACTGTTTGCTTGAAGAATTTTTTTGTTACGCTGCATATTAAAAACTCATCTCTTTTATATATTTATTCTTCGTGTTGTATTTTGAGGACTTATTTTTTTATTCTGTTATTTATATAAAATCTAATTAGGTATCATATAATGAATCTATATCATCAATTTAACATCATTTACAATGTTTTATCAAATTTTAACATCATTACAACTTCAAAGAGTAACATTCTACTAAAACAGATTAAATTTCAAGAATTAAAATTATATGTTTAAATTTGAGAAATCGAAATTAGAATGGATGCAAATTTCAAGAATAAAAAATTATGCTAGCAACTTTTTTGGTCCAATTTATAACTTACAATTCATCACTTTTTATTGGAAATTTGTAATTTTTATAACGACTCGAATGGCTCTCCTTTATAAAATTTGGCGAGCTGAATTATATTATACTTTTTATATTTTATTACCAACATATGTTTTTTATATGTCACATCAATAAAAATGTACTCTTCTGATCCTATTTATAAGGTACTTTTGACATATTTTACACAGATCAAGAAAAATCTTAAATTTCATTAACTTTTATTTAAAATTTAATAACTTTTCAACTTTATCTTTTTTTAATATACATTATACTTCATATAAACAAAGTCAATATAATAATAAATGAGAGGTAAAATTATACATACGTACAAAAAAAATTTCTCAATACTCTATAAATAGTACTAAAAAATATCTTTTCTCTGTCCTATAAATAGGACCAGAGAAGTAGGTATATAATTACCATAAGCTCTCCGGTCAATCTTCTCGACCGGGGATGTTATTTAGCTTTTATCTTTGTCCATTAGGCTTGGCTATTGATGAGACCCCTAGGACGAGGCAAGCTAAAACCATCGTCTAGAATTTTTTTTTGGGTACAAAAGAAGGCCAAGGCCTAAACTAAAAATTAAATAAGAGGGGGATTAAATCCCAACATATCTTCATCAATCGAGATCTGAAGATGAGGCGGACACTTATTCAGAATAGCAGTAGTAGTTCTTCCTTCTTTTGCTAAAGCATCGGCAACCACATTTTGATCTCTAGACACATGCTTCAATTGCACTTCCCAGCTAAGCTTAATCAGATTCATTACATGGATGAGGACCAAGGTACAAGTAGATTCAGTAAAATCAGCTGATATCATGTCAGTTAAATTCTTAGAGTCAGATTCAAGAATAATTCTCCTGAAACCCATATCTCAGGCCAAAGTAAGGCTTTTGAAAACTGCCCATTCTTCATCTTCGAGAGCACTACATATTCCAAGACTTTGTTTGAACCCAGCAATCCAAAAACCATGATGGTTTCTTAAGACACCACCACTGATAGAAGCAAAGGAAGGGAAGCAGAATATTCATTCAACAGAAACCAAATCAGGGCAATACATAGTATATATCCCAACCTCAAGACACGTCACCCACTTATTCTCTCTCTACTAACTAACTATTTAGGAATTTACCTTTCTCTCACAGTTACAATTACTATAAAAACCTTTTACCAGAATAGTGCATATATCAATACTCCCCCCCTCGAAAGAATCCTTGTCCACATGGTAGAAAAATCCAGAAACTACTGCTGGATAAGAGATAAATCCTCCCAAGTGGCATCCTCAGGTTGAGAGAATTTCCAGCGAATCAAGACTTGAGTAACAAGGACATTGTTTCGTTTGACAATCTTCCGGCCCAAAATCTCTTGTGGGTCAAGCATAAAGTGGCCTTGATTATCAATAGGTGGCAGAGAGGGGGCAAGAGGGGCCTTTGGACCCACATGTTTCTTGAGGAGTGAAACATGAAAAACAGGATGAATACGTGTGTTTGCTGGCAACTCGAGCTCATAAGCGACAGCCCCTATTTTCTTCAATACCTTATAGGGACCAAAATAACGGGCAGCAAGCTTGTGGAGGGAAGCATTGTTCAGTAAATTCCTTCTAAAAGGATGCAATTTCATATAGACCCTGTCCCTGATATCGAAGTAACATTCAGATCTGTTTTTGTTAGCTTGCCGAACCATCCTATGCTGTGCTCTTAGTAAATGTTGTTTAAGGAGCTGTAAAACTAGCTCCCTCGATAGACAAGTGCGGTCAACTAGATCATTTGGAGAATCCCCCGCAATATAAGGCAAATGGACCGGAGGTGCAACCCCATAAACAGCCTCAAAAGGGGACATGCCAATAGAAGAGTGATAAGTAGTATTATACCAAAGTTCTACTAAAGGCAGCCATTTAACCCATTGTTTAGGGAAATCTCCAGTCATGCAACGGAGATAGCACTCCAAGCAACGATTCAAAACTTCTGTTTGCCCATCCGTTTGAGGATGATAGGCAGAAGAGTATTGGAGTTTAACCCCATATAACCTAAACAGCTCCTTCCAAAATTTGCCACAAAAAATAGGATCTCGATCCGACACTATTGACTTAGGGAACCCATGCAGTTTGACCACATTATCCAGAAAAATTTGTGCCACATCAACAGCAGTAAAGGGGTGTTTGAGAGCCATGAAATGGGCTGCCTTTGAGAGTCTATCAACTACTACTAAAATAGTAGATTTAGAATAGGATTTGGGAAGGCCACTAATAAAATCCATAGAGAGATCTGTCCACACATGATCCGGAATGGGTAGAGGCTGAATTAATCCTAGAGAAGCAATTAATTCTGGTTTAAAGCGCTGGCATGTAGTGCATTCACAAACAAAGTTTCTAACATCCTTCTCTAACCCCTTCCAATAGAAGAAAGAAGAAATGCGCACAAAAGTAGAATGCTAGCCAGAGTGCCCACCAATGCTGTCTTCATGAAAAAATGTCAGCAAGTCATGAGGAAGGTTCCTATCAGCACCCACAACCAACCTCCCATTGCGTTTTAACAGTTGCTGTTGCCAAGTATATTTACTATGGGAGGTAGGATCCTATTCCAGATCTGAAATTAATCTCTGAAGATGATCATCAGTTAACCAAGAGTCTCGAACCTTCTCATAAAGTGGAGAAACAGGTTGAGTTAAAGCCAAACAGGATCCCTCAGCACGCCGAGACAAGGCATCTGTAGCTGCATTCTCACTACCTTTTCTATAAACAATCTCATAATTCAAGCCCCACAATTTATGAAGCCATTTAAACTGATCTTGATTTAATTCTCACTGCTCCAACAGGTGTTTAAGTGGGAGATGATCTGTCTTAATAATGAATTTATGGCTGCACAAGTAAGAACGCCACTGCTGAACAGCAAAGATAATAGCCAATAATTCCCTCTGATATGCAGAAAGCAGTTTCTTCTTAGTGGGCAAAACTTTGCTAGCAAAGGCCATTGGATGGCCATTTTGAGAAAGAACAACCCCTAATCCTGTACTAGAAGCATCTGTTTCCACAATGAAAGGTTCATGGAAATTCGGGAGTGCCAATACCGGAGGAGACATCATGAGTTTTTTTAGCAAGAGAAAAGCCTCATTGGTTTCAGCAGACCATTGGAAAGGTACATCTTTCTTCAACAAATCTGAAAGAGGTTTGCTAATGGCTCCATAATTGCAAATGAATCGCCTATAATACCCCGTAAGGCCTAAGAATCCACGCAGCTCCTTGAGATTAGTAGGGACAGGCCATGATGAGACTGCTGCAAGTTTTTTAGGGTCAGCCTGTACTCCTTTTGCAGAAATTATGTGACCCAAATAGTCGATTTGGGTGGCAGCAAAAATACACTTAGAAATTTTGGCAAACAGCTTATGTTGCCTTAAGGTGGATAAAGCCAGCTCCAAGTGCTCCATATGGGAGTTCCAGTTCTTGCTGTAAACTAGTATATCATCAAAGAAAACTAGAATAAATTTCCTTTAAAATGCCTTAAAGACATAGTTCATGAGTCCTTGAAATGTAGCCGGTGCATTTGTGAGCCCAAAGGGCATAACAAGAAACTCATACAGGCCCTCATGGGTTCTGAAAGCTGTCTTAGGAATATCTTCCCCTTTCATTCTAATTTGATGATAACCAGACCGTAAATTGAGCTTAGAGAAATAAACAGCACCGGTTAACTCATCTAACAATTCCTCAATGACCGGTATAGGGAATTTTTTTTTTCACTGTAGCCTCGTTAAGTCTTCTGTAATCAACACAGAATCTCCATGTACCTTCCCTCTTCTGTACCAAGACTACCGGAGCTGCAAAAGAACTTGAACTCTCTTGAATAATGCCATTCTGAAGCATTTCTTGAACTTGCTTCTCAATTTCTGTTTTCTGTGCAGGACCATATCGGTAAGGTCGACAACTAATAGGCTTATCATTATGAAGTGGAATAGCATGATCATAAGGCCTTGAAGGGGGAAGTTCCTTCGGTTCCTCAAAAATATCAGCATAAGTGTCCAATAATCAGAGTAATTCTTGTTGACACGTTTCTGGAAGTGGGGAAGTATTACACAACCCAACGTGCAAGGAGGATGATGCATTAATAAGGAAAATGCATGCAGTAGTGAGAATATCATGGTTTGAAGAGAGCTCTGTTATGACAGGAGAGGGTGCATAACCTAGGCCATGCAACTCAATTTTCTTGCCCCCATAAGTGAATTCGAATAACCGCAAATCAATATCCATAGTAAAACATCCTATAGTTCTCAACCATTGGGTGCCCAGAAT